GAAATTTTCTGTTGCATAGAATCTGTCTCCCTCTCCTTGCCCACAGGGAGTTAGGTTTGTTGTCTGCCAGGGTTCGTACACCTCTTAGCATGTAATTTTTTGTGCAGTATTTGTAGTTTAGAGTTTTTTAAATGAGTGTTTAGAAGTATCTCTGCTGTATTCTCCCACGGCAGGTCAATGGGCTCTTGGGAGGTTGTTTTCTGAATCCTGATTCACAAAATTCTCAAGCTCTCTGGCTCTCTAAAAAGGGTCCTGTTTGGGTCCCCTCCTAGCAGTCTTTTGTTCAAATAGGTAATAAACCCAGCAAACCTAATTGGAGGTGGCTGGAGAAAAGCACTTTAATAACAGTTTTCTTGAGCCACTCGTGCACGTGCAGTGAGGAGATCTGAGCAGCCTTGACCAGAGCCACCTGTTCCCCTGGAGCCCTCTTTTGTCCCACTCATCTGTCAGCTTCACCAGTCACAGATTGTCCTTAGCCAGGAAGCTGCAGGTATGGATAGCTTAGAAACTCCTGGGAATTTTAGCAGAGGTTGAGAAACCCCATCCTACTGTGCTTGTGCACTTTGCTGGGCCCAGATGGCTGCTGGAGTCTGAGCTGAGGGCTGGAGAGCTGACAGCCTGCTCTCCAATTAAGCACCCTAATTTCCACAGGATTAGGAGCATCTCTTCTCCCATTAACATCTCATTTATTAGGGATTGTGCACCTTAGGGATGGATTCAGTCTCCCATTATCTCTTGTACACCGTGGACACTGTCCCAACCATTGCTGGCAGAATTATACAGAAATTTTCTTTTCCAGGTTTTTTTGGCCAGTGAACAGCAGAGAGTCCTGGCATTCAGTGAGCCAGTGAGAGCCAACAAGGGGGTGAAAATTCTTACACTAGGAATAGGATGGTTGGTTTAAAAGGTGAGAGGGACCTGCTTACAAGGCTGGAGGGATGCAAAATGACAGAAATGAAGATTAATGAGGTTGGATGGGGCCTGATTTTTAATTGGATCCAGTGTAACGATGCGAGTCAGCCTGGTGTACCTGGGCCAGGAACACCACAGACAGGTCACCTGCAGCCTTGGCAAAACATCTTCCTGACTGTTCAGTGAACAGGATTCCCAACACACTGTACTGGATATGTGAGACAGATGTATAGATTATACATATGTGTATTACATATTTTATGTGCTTTCATATTCTTATATTTATATATTTATTTTCATGAATATTTGATGCCTCCTGCCTAAAGTGAAGCTGATATTCCTGGCAGGAATAGCTGGACCAGCCAGCTCTGGGGTTTACGTCCTGATGAGCCGCTTACGGCAGTGAAACCATTTCCAGCGAGACTTTTGAAAAATGGGGCAATTATTATCTCCTCAATGGATTCGCAGTGCTGAATGTGTGACAAGTGTGGGAGTCCTCTGTCTGTGTGTGGGAAGGCTGTTTTGGTTTGGGGATATTTTGAGGGGACAACTTGCCCGTCCGGTGCTCGTGTACCACAGGGGTTTCTCTGGGCTCTGTCGCAGCCTCGGCAGGCCCTGAGGAGGAGGAAATCCCTCAAATCTGACTTCCCCTCCTTGCATTGTTTAGGAGAGGGGTTGTTGTGAAGCACACGGGGGTGCATCCCCCCAGGGTGTGTTCTGGGGCAGAGCCCAGGGGGTGTTTGGTGCTGCCCTCTCCCTGTTCTGGGGCCGAGGGGTGTTGGGCACAGCGCGGGGCCGCTCGGACCTGGGACGTGACTCTTTTGACAAAGCTGGTCCGTGTACAAAAATACTCAATGACTCAATCCTTCTGACTTCTTTCCATCCCCACATGCTAAAATACTCCCACTCCTTCACACATTTTACATCAAACCCAGAAACCTCCTAGAAGACAATACTGCTACTGAACCATAAATAATCAGTTTGCAGACATTAGAACATCCTTCTAACAATAGGCAGGGAGTTGGTCTCTTTTCGCCCCTTGTTTCAGGACAAATTGTAGGGATTTGTGGTTTGAGTAGTTTTGTTATTTATTGCTACTTTAAAACTTTGTGTAGTAGCTATAGCTGGTACTAAGGAGTATGAAAAGTCCCTGTGCATGTTCTTGCTGCATCAGTCCCGTGTGGAACTGGATGTTCCATGTTTCTGTTCCCTGCTCTGCTCTCACAGTGCTCTTTGCTGCAGTACAGAGATCCATCTTCTCTCCATGCCTGTTTTGTCCAGATGCAAATTGAGGCAACTCATTAGAAGAGAACTGAACATAAGCTGAATTCTGAAAAAAAAAAAAAGGTACTAATGAAGTGGAAAACAGAAAAACCTTAAATCAGCCTTAATTAAAGATAGATAGGAGCCGTTTCTTCCAAAAAAATGATTCATTGCAAGACTTGGGGGATTGTTATTTGAAGTGTAGAAATGGATCCTTACAGAAGGCATCTGAACAATGGTGAGGAGAAGCAGTCCTGCTTGTGTTCTCAGCAGTGTGCTCTTCTCATTTACATGCTGGGAAGGATCTCAGAAAAAAACAGGTGATTTTCTGTTTGATGTAAGCACCACTAGGATTTTATTTCTTTTCTGCTCTGAACTTTCAGTGCTGCAGACAGAGGAGGGGGTGGAAGGCCCTTTTTCCCTGTTCCACCTCAGTCTGGCTGCCCCAGCAGACACCTCTGCATCCCCTCCTGGGTTCTGCTCCCCGCTGTGGCGGGAGGAGCCCAAAGAGCTGCTGCTCTGACACAGCAGGGGGAGATTTCTTGTGCTTTCCTTTGCCTGTGTCACCAAACCCCAGAAGATCACAACAGATACCAGAGCACTGGGTCTGACCATTCAGGCAGGAGCAGGGACCAGACCTGGGCTCAGGGTGTCCCCAAACCTTCGCTGCCATCGAGACCAGCAAAGCCCAGCCCAGAGTGCAGCTGAGCTGGAGCTGCAGGAGGGCAGCTGGGAGGGGCTGGGGGCTTGGGGTGGCTTTGGGTGACAAATCCTGCCACAGGATGAACAGCTGCAGTGGAAAAGCAGTCCAAGGATGCTTATTAAAATTTTAACAGCAAGGAGCATATTCTGACTTCGTGTGAAAGCAAAGCAAATGTGTGTTACATAAAATGTGCTTCTATTTTGGTGCTTTATTATTTTCTGCTTTGTACCAGGTGTGATCTTTGATACTTCTCCCTCATTTCTTCAAATAAGATTATTTACTGCTATAACTTCCAAAGAAGAAGTTGGACATTTAATATGATTTTGAAGACTGTGTGATTAGTGTTAAGAGAAATTCTTTTATTAGCTATTTTGACCATCTTTCCCCCCCCAAACCCTATAGACCTTGTGAAATAAGTATAAGCTTTCCATGATTATTATCTCAGTAAATTTGAGAAATATTTATCTTCTCCTGAATTGGAAGGAAAGCAGGTGTTGAACACTTTGAAATGTCTGGGAGAGGGTTGGGCTGAGTTTGGGTCTGAGGTTGCAGTGAACCCAGAGGTGTTTCTGGCCCAGCACTGGCTTTGTGACTAATTCCTGCTGACCACACTGATTTGTCTGAGGGCAGCTCTGATTGAAACCAAGGGATCAGCTTTAAGAAATATAAAATGCTACATGAGGGATTATCTTGTTCTTAATTACCTTCTCTCCATAAATATTTTATTAACATAAACAATATGCTCTACAGAATTATGGCTTTAAATTTAAATTTTCTTTTATTACAGTGACCTGCTTTCAAATCAAAACGTTGAACCTTCTTTTCTGGAGTAAATTAATTGACCTTGTCTGAACACAAGCTTTTCAATGCTTTTTCCCATTTCTTTTTACTCTACCTTGCTTCTCTCGGGTGCTTTTGCTTTTGCCTGAGAGGTGGACTTGAATCAAAGAACTGTGTTGGTTTTGATGCATTTTGGAATACATGGAGGGAGTGTTTTCATTTGGACACTGTTTCATCTTTAATCTTGATGACAAGATTGATAAAAGAGAGCTGACCTCAGAATCTCCTTGTATTTACTTATTTATAAATCTGGACTCACTAGAATGTGTATTACATGTATTAGTTTTCATTCTTCCATCCAGCATCTCAGTAGTAATTTACACTTCTCCAGACCTAAAAAAAACCCCAACAGCATTGGACATGGTAATAGTTTTAATTTTACTTAAACAGATCAGGCAGAAAAGCCACGGGAAAATCAGGTCACAGGCTCTGCTCTGTCACTATGGGAAATAAATGGGAGACTTGGCAGAAAATATGAGTCTGCATTTCTTCTGGGACAGAGCCAGTCGCTCGCAGTTGGCACTGGAGCTGAGCTCAGTCCTTGCAGCAGCTGGAGAGCAGGAAGAAGCCCCAGCCCTGGCTCAGCCCCAGCCCCGCTCCAGGGGCTTTGCCTGCAGGAGCCTCAGCTCTGCAGCAGCTCCCACGGAGGGCAGGGACCCCCAGGGCAGGGCAGAGCCCCTGGAGGAGCTGCCCCATCACTGGGGTCTTTGAAGGCCACTGCACAGTCTGTGGTGCTGCCAAAGCTCCAGGAATGGGAAGGTTTGATGTCCAAAGCACAGCACAGGGGAAAGGCCCCTGCCAGGACAGGGGAGGTTTGAGTGGCGGGGAAGAACAAAAATCTGTCAGGTTCTTGCCACTGCATTTAGAAACAAATCTGTAGGATCAGTGACCTAATCCATAGGAACCATGGGACCTTGCTGGCCAAGGATTCCAGTGTCCAGGTAAAACTGTGTCCAGCACAAGGTTTACATGTTGTAGGAGCTCAGCTAAAGCATTCGAGATGCTCGAGAAGGGCACATCCCTTGTGCTGGCTCCAGCATATGGACATTCCATGTCCATTAATATGGGAGTGAAAACTTCCACATTTACAGGTAAGTCCACAGATACCAAGAATCTTCCTGACTCTTTGATGGTGTACCTGACCTCTTACATCAGTGCAGGAAATCTCATCCTGTGGCTTGAACTGTTCATTTGGCAGCTGCTTGATGTGTTTTCTTCCTGCAAAGGCAATTTGAAGGGAGCAAGGCCTGACTCAGAGCTATCACTTCCCTTCTCTCCTCAGTGGAAAGATGTATGAGCTCCATGCAGGCGGGCACCCAAATGATCAAGCTCCGTGGGGGATCCAAAGGGCTGGTCCGCTTCTATTACCTGGATGAGCACAGGTCCTGCATCCGCTGGAGACCCTCCCGCAAGAATGAGAAAGCCAAAAGTGAGTGTCAGCCACAGAGCCCCCCCTTCTCATCCCTCCTGGGGTCTTGCCCTCCTAACAGAACAACAAGCATGAAGGATTTGGCAGTTGGAAGTTGGTCATTGATAGGTGATCAAGAAGAGTGTTGCAGTTGAATTTAAAAGGCAGTAAATGATTTTATGATGAATGATTTCTGAAGTTTGAATTGCTGTTGTTGGCTGTGCAGGCTGCAGGGGTGTAGGATGTTGTAAATGAGTGGAAGGCAACCCCTGTGTGAGCTGGGGCCCTTGTGGTGAGATTTGGGGTTTCTTGTGGGATTTCTGTGCAGGGTGACCCATCCTGGCTGCCCCAGGGCACTCACACAGCCATTAACGAGCTCCACGCTTTGGTCATTCCAGTCTCCATCGACTCCATCCAGGAGGTGTGTGAGGGGAAGCAGTCGGAGATCTTCCAGCGCTACGCTGAGGGCAGCTTCGACCCCAACTGCTGCTTCAGCATCTACTACGGGGACCACATGGAATCCCTGGACCTGGTGTCCTGCAGCGCCGAGGAGGCCCGGACCTGGATCACGGGGCTGAAGTACCTGATGGCAGGGATCAGCGACGAGGACAGCCTGTCCAAACGCCAGCGGACCAGGGACCAATATCCTTCCCGTGCTGCCTGGGGGCTTTCCCAGGAGAGGAGAGCTGGGGATAGCACTGGCATTCCCTGCAGCTTTGCCACAGGTAAGCGCTGGGCTCACGGCTTCAGAGCAGTTCCCGTTGTACTCCCTGTTTCCAGAGGACAGGAGTCCTTGGAGAGGACTGTTCTGGGCAGGGTTTGGAGATGAATGCCTGGAGTGGACTGGAAACCATACAGGTGTGTTCCTTCATCTCTGACTCCCGCTGTAAAACCACCCATTTGGTTTGGTTTTTTACATCTCACAAAGTGAGATGTAAAATTGAGATTCACTCAGTGTGTTCTGCTGTGCTGTGCAATGGCTGCAGAGCACAGCCTGTCTAGAAACTGTAACTGAACTAACCTGAGTAGAATTAAACATTGTCTTGAACTTTCTTTCATTTCCAGTCTCATTTCCGGTGTTTCCTAATGTGAAAAAATCATGTATGCCTAAAGTTCAGTAATATCCCTCAATATTCCACGCTGTTCCTTAACCCCTGTTCAATGTGGTTGAAGCAGACCTTTGATGAGGCAGATAAAAATGGTGATGGCAGTCTGAGCATCAGTGAAGTGCTCCAGCTCATGCACAAACTGAATGTGAACCTGCCCCGACAGAAAGTCAAGCAAATGTTTAAGGTAAGAAATGAAAACATTTGTGTTTGTTTTTTTTTCTGAAAGAACAAGGATTTAACATGAAACCCAGTAGGAGAGATTGCAAATACTTCAGCAGCTGGGTTCTTTCCACTCTGCTGAGAGATACTACACAGGCCATTTGGTAGATTGAAAAGAGCTCCAGAAACACGTCACAGATAAATTGTTATGCACAGAAAAAGGCCATACACCAGGTACCTCCTGGTGTTACACAACATGGACACACACAGTAGTACCAAGATTGCTTTTTTTGCTATACTTTTTGATCAGAAACTCAGTCACGTTTCCTCCTCTGATTATGTTCTCTGTAATAAATATTATCCAGTAAAGTATCCAATATCCTACAATAATAAAATACCCAGCATGAAAACTTCTGTATCTGTCATATTTTTGCACTGCTAAGAGCTGTTTGTTTGACATTTCATTCTGCTGACCTTGACCCAATTTAGTGGGCAGCTGAACAATGGAGATGTGTAGCTTTTGTCATCACAAAGTCTCTCCAGGGACCAGGAAGCCTCTATGTGAAATCCCTAATGATTTTTTTCTTTACTTGCAAAACTAGTATTCTTCCATATATTATCAGTTTATGGCTGTGGATTTAACAGATATCCCCTCAAAACCTGGGTATAAAATGACTTTCCAGGTGATGTGGGTCCCAGTGATCTCCTCAAGAAGGTATGGGTGGTGATTCTGGCAGATACGTGCACGCTGTGTGCTGTGCTGCAGGGTGCACTGCCCTGCTCCATTGCATGGATAGCAGAAATCCTCCAGAGGGTTCCCTGGGGAACAGGAAAGACCCTCACCCTTGTTTCTTGGCTCGTGCACTAATGTGTGAAGGAAAAGCTGTGCAAAGCATTCGCATGGCAGCTCAGCCCGTTCCACAGGCTGAGCAGGGACAGCACCGACCTGCTGCTGCTCTGGGGTTTGTCCTCTGCAGGGGTTTGTCTGTGCAAAGGGGGTGCAGGCAGGTGGGTTCCTGACTGCCCTGTTGCTGTGTGTGCAGGAGGCTGACACGGATGACAACCAGGGCACGCTGGACTTCGAGGAGTTCTGTGCCTTCTACAAGATGATGTCGACGCGCCGCGACCTGTACCTGCTGCTGCTCACCTACAGCAACCACAAGGACTACCTGGACACAGACGACCTGAGGCGCTTCCTGGAGACTGAGCAGAAGGTGGGCCTGAGCCAGGGGGAGCAGTCCAGTGTGCTGCCCTTCTGCTTTGCCTTTCAAACAGGGAGAGAACTTCAGTGTTGTGCCTGTGAAAAAATAGGCAGCTAAATGTCTCTTGATTTTCACCTTGTAGGCTGGCATGACTATTTCTTCAATCTTCTTGCTCTCACTACCTTTTTTTTTTTTTCCTGTAGGCTCCTTTGTTGTGCCCCTAAATATAATCTCTACAGTTTCTTTCTTTTTTCACGTGTTCTCTTAGAAAAATTCCATCAGCATCTGTCTGTTCCTGGTATTCAGCCTCCTGGAACGAAGCCGGTGTTTCTGTCTCTACCTGGGACTTAGTGCACAGTCCATGATGAAACACTGAATTGCTTTGTCACACTATCTCAGTTGTAAAGTTTTAGTTTTTCAAGAGCTGTTGAGAGGATGTATGGAAAGTTTTTTAAATACTCTGTAGTCCTAAGAAGTTGTCTCTGAGTGCTTTAACTCCAGTGCTGCAGGAACAAATGCACTGACTGGTGTTTGCCTTTTCCTATCCCTGATCTCTGCTGAAGCTGCATCCCTGTGGGTCAGAAATGCCCATCAGCTTCAAACAGTGCCTAAGAAGTGAATGCCTAAAAAAGCCACCTCTCTGGCAGTTGTCCTTTTGGATAAGTGGAGTGTGTTTCCATTTCATTGGTCTATTGATCCTCCAGATGGTGAGAGGAAAATGAACACTCTCCACAGGACACAAATCAGCTCAGCTAATTACTGACATGGACAAATCCTGCCTGGGGGGCTCCTCTCCCTTGCCTTCCTCACACAACATGTTCACTCTATGCCAGAAGAGCCTTATCTTTTGAACTCAGCAAATGGATCATGTATGTTCAAACCCAGAGTTAGAGGTTCTTTAATTCCTCTTCTTCTACTTCTATTTATTAGGTTTTAAATCACCCCCAGAAAAGGCACTGATCTGGTGGCAGATGTGCTGGTGGTTTCACTTCCCCATGTTGCCAAAACAGTCCCCAGTGTGGTCACTCCATTGCAGTCCCCTCTGGTGACAAGGGCTGTGTTTTCATGTCAGGGACAGCATCTCACAGAGAGGATTTGCTGGACCACTCAGGACAGGAATGGGAAATAATAGCATGGAGAATAGAGAATAAATCAACATTAAATAGCAGGAATACGAATTAATAGTGTTAATAGCTCAACATAAATGACCCTGTTTTTATAAATGACAACCTTTCCAGACAGCATTTCCAGACATATATTTCCCTTTGTACTCTTCTCTTTTTTAGTTGAGAATGCAAAGCAACCTTGAAGTTAGCAGATTCTTCCTGAGAACATTATGTCCTGAATCTCTATTTCCCTGCTAGTAACAGATTTTTTTGTCTGCTGCATAAAGATGAATCTTTTTTTTGCTTTATTTTAAAGTAAAAAAACCTTTGATAATGCAAACTAATCCTTTAATCCTACAGGAGAAGAAATCCCATTGGTTTGTGACAAAGCTTGTTCTGTTTGGATGCTCTGTGGTGCCTAATAAGAGATCTGACCTACAAAGCAGGACTCTGTGATCAGGCAGCTGCCAATGGCACAGAACTGCTCACAAAGTGCTGCCTCTCTGATCTGCCCTGACACTGATTGACAGGAGTGAGAATCCTGCTGGGAACTGGAAATCCTGGGTCCCACTCGGGATAATCTGCCCAGTTGTTGGACTGTGTGCAGAGGGAAGGGCTGAGGGAGGCTCTGATTAATAGTTAACACTTGGGTTTTGCTGCTGTTCCAGATGACAAATGTGACTAAAGAGCATTGCCTGGAGATCATCAACAAGTTTGAGCCGTGCCTGGAGAACAAGAAGGAGGGAGCCCTGGGGATTGATGGTAAGCTGCTGGTGCAGGGAAAAGGCAGCTGCTTCAATGCTCAGGAGAATATTGCTTTTGCTTGTATAATGCATAGTCATAGATTTTGTCATGCTGTACAGTGTGCTTCCAGTCTTTTTGGTTTCTTCGTATCTGTTATTTGCTGAGGAACGTAAAGGGAAGTTGGATCTCTTTGGAAGAGTTTTGACAAGTACATAAGATGAAGCAGCAATCACTGAAGGTCCAGATGGAACTGGATGAGGCTTTATTTATGCTTTTGGAAAATACAGAGATACAGTAGAATTCAGTTGCATCATTCCTGCAGGTATTTTTGGAAATCCATTAAGTGTTACTAAGAGGAGTGATGTGCTCCAGAGTACATGTGTGAGGTGGGATGATGGATTGGAATCTGTGGGGGTCATGCCTTCCTGCCCTTTGCTGCTGAAGTCTTCACTGTGAATATATCCCTGCTGCACCATCGGGCGGGGAGCTGTTATTTTGGGGACTGACTGTAAATCCTTTCCCCTAAATAGTAAATCTTCTGCCAGATCTTATTGAATCCAAGGAAAGAGTACATTCCTCAGGCATTAGCTTCTGTGCAAAAGTTCTGGGACCTCTGGAAAGCTAGTCCTGCCCATTTCTGTGGGTGTGTTGTCATCCTGGAAAGTGGCAAAACAGAGGTTGTTTGGTTTCCTGCATGAAGAAGTGGGTAGTTTCTGGTATAGAGTGTAAAGTGGTTTTTTTTTCAAGAAATGATGGTTGCTTAGGATGGATTCAGGTCTGTTCTACTTCCAGACTGAACTTTCAATTTATTTTAAAGCTTATTCTAATGCCAGTGAGGGATCAGTTTACATATTCATATTTTTATTTTCTGGTCTTTACAGTCAGTTGCAGTCACATAAATAATGAATAATCAGGTTCATTATCTTGCCTTCCTCATAACTAGAAAAGTAAGACTGGGCTTTTTAAACCATTGCAGGTTTTCATTTAAAAAAAAATTAAAAAATCTATCCAGTTGCTTTGCCTAAGAATGGGTGATAAAACAGTTGAGAGTTTATGTGTTAGGATAAGAGAGAATCCAACATGGAGGCATTCTGCTGGTGTCTGCTACAGATCTCCTGATCAACAGGGAGCAGATGAGCTTGTTTGGAGGCAACTGGAAAAAGCTTCAGCACTTCAGCCACTCCAGTATCTTGCTGGAAGCGCAGCAGAACAGAACAGGTCTAATCTAGAGGAGATTTCTGGGCTGTATTGATGATAACATCCAAACAGAGGTGATGAGGAGCTGGCAGGACACACTGCTGGGGTGGTGCTGGCAGAGGAGAAAGAGCTGCTTCAAAACATGGAACTGTGTGTGCATGTCCATCCTGTGTGTGCATGTCCATCCTGTGTGTGCATGTGCATCCTGTGTGTGCATGTCCATCCTGTGTGTGCATGTCCATCCTGTGTGTGCATGTGCATCGTGTGTGTGCATGTCCATCCTGTGTGTGCATGTCCATCCTGTGTGTGTGCATGTCCATCATGTGTGTGTGCATGTCCATCTTGTGTGTGCATGTCCATCTTGTGTGTGCATGTCCATCCTGTGTGTGCATGTCCATCCTGTGTGTGCATGTGCATCCTGTGTGTGTGCATGTGCATCCTGTGTGTGCATGTACATCATCTGTGTGTGCATGTCCATCATGTGTGTGCATGTCCATCATGTGTGTGCATGTGCATCACGTGTGTGCATGTACATCATGTGTGTGCATGTGCATCCTGTGTGTGCATGTGCATCACGTGTGTGCATGTCCATCATGTGTGTGCATGTCCATCATGTGTGTGCATGTGCATCCTGTGTGTGTGCACGTGCATCCTGTGTGTGCATGTGCATCATCTGTGTGTGTATGTGCATCCTGTGTGTGCATGTCCATCCTGTGTATAGTTGAGACTTTAGATCCCTCCTCCAGCAAACAAATCAAGTGCTGCCTGGGGGGCTGAGATACACCAGCCATGGAAGCTGGAGCTGCAGGTTTATTCCTCCCATGGGTACAGCCCAGGCAGGAGCATCCTGCCCACACCTGGCAGTACTTCAGTAGTAGTAAAATAATGGTGCAGTGTTCTTTGTCCTTTCATGTTCATTCATGGGTCTGTACTGCCTTGTGTCCTCAGCTGTGCTGGACTTTGCTGTGAAGCACCTTGGACTGGCCTGTGACAATTGGCTGGTTCACAGTCTTGCAAAAGCCCCCTGACCTTTGTCTGCTGATCCAAACCCCCTGTGCCAGTGCCCCTTCCCCAAGGTGTGAGCTGGAGACCCACAGCACACACTGGATCTTCAGTCACTCCTCTATCTTCCTCCTAGGACTGACAGATGCAGTTGGTGTGAGCTCACCATAACAGCCATGATCTCATGTGTTGACAAGTGCTTAGAGCAAACCACAGTGGGTTTTCAGCAGCTGCCCTGCCTGGGCTGGGTGGGATTGACTGAGGAGCAGCCTCTGGGTTTGCAGGGAGAGGAGCTGATGCCCTTCCCCTCGTGGCTGTTTGCTGGCACACACTGTGCTCTCTCCCCTTGCCATGGCAGCTGCTCTCCCTTGGTTGCTCCTCTGTTTTCTCCCTGGTTGTGTCACTGCTTTGCTCGTTGATTGTGGGGCCTCAAGAGCCTGGAATATTTGTCTGAGCTGAATTCCCTGTGCTGTGTCCCCGTGCCTTGTTCAAAGAGCTTTGGCTGCTATTTGTGTTTATCAGCTCTTTTCCTTTAATAAAACTTTCATCAGCACAAAATGTATAGCCTAGAAGAACCATCATAAAGGTGACATTTTATCTTGTCACAGTCAAAGGAAGTGCGCTGAGCCCTTCAGAACTCTGGCAGGATTTTACACGGGCACTGTTTTATTTATGGAATGAGTGAAATGTCAGGAGCATTAGCAGTCTGGAAGCAGAGACCTGTCGAATAAAGGCTGGCAGCAAAGCCACGGTGGGAATGGGAATTTGAATCTTCCCTTGGTGGTGAATGGAAAATATCTGGGGGCTGCTTGAAGTGGCAGTGACAGTGTTTAATGTTAGCCTGAACTGTGGCAGTGTCTGTGTGTGTGTGCACAAATGTGCACTGGGGGTCTGAGAGCAGCAGTTTCACACGGAGATAAAATCAGGACTTGCTAAAACTTTGCTTCTCACCAGCAGTTGTGATTGCAGTACACAAGTGGTCCAGGTGCTGGTCTCTGCAGGGTTTGCAAGCATCCCACTGCTTTGGAAAAGCATTCCTCTGGTCCATCACTGAAAACCCTGCAGTTAATTGATATTTTGGTGTCAAGCCTGGAGTGAACTTTGGTGTCTAAAGTGACATTAATGCAGTTCTGCAGATCTCCCCCTCCACATACATGTTTGTGCATGAGGTGTCGTGTCCAAATTCCAGGGTGTAGCTCGTACAAGCCAATGTGTGTTGACATTCTTCTGGTATTTTCAGGAGAGACGAAAGGAAAGTACCTCCCTTGTCTCAGACTGTGTTGGGCCACCAGAACTGTCTCCAGGCAGTACAATACCACAGACCTTACAACACTTCACTGAGGAGCAGTACCAGGATATGACTGCAGATCTCTGGGGGCTTTTATGTGCCATGTGATTTGACATCCCAGCAGAATCTTTTGACACAAATTGTAAGCCTAAAGAGGAAAGGCAGAGCAGGGAAAGCGTGCAAAGCAACTGGAGATTTCTTGAAAAGCAGCAACCACACTTGGTCATGGTGACAGCTGGGGTGTAGTGATGCTGTTTCTTTATCTTACACGTTCATGAATGTGTTGGTGAACACAGGGATGCGTTTTTAGGCTGGTTTCAGGATGGTTGCAGCCACAAAAAGGACAAAGCTGTGTCGTTGACGGTGCTGTTTGCTCGCAGGTTTCACCAATTACATGCGGAGCCCGTCAGGGGACATCTTCAACCCCGAGCACTACCACGTGAACCAGGACATGAGCTACCCTCTGAGTCACTACTTCATTACCTCCTCACACAACACCTACCTCATGGGAGACCAGCTGATGTCCCAGTCCCGGGTGGACATGTATGCCTGGGTGCTGCAGGCCGGCTGTCGCTGTGTGGAAGGTAAAGGGTGAAAGGGAACACTGTAGGATCTGCTGGTTTGTTCCTCTGCAAAGGAAGAGCCCTGGTTTCTGCAGGAGACACGGTGAAATTGGGTAGAGGGAAAAGCCAGGGAAATGGTGTCTTCCCTTCATAAAGAACAATAAAACTGTGTTGTGATATATTGGACAAATTTTCTTGAGCCTGGAAATAAGGCAGAGGTCTGGGGAGTGTGTCCTGTCACAATACTCCTCAGCACTGCTTAAGTGGAGTTTTTTTGCTTGGGGCTTTCTCAAACATCTGGTCACAGGAGACAGTCAAGTCCAGGGAGTTCCTACTGAGGAGTGATGTTCAGCACAGTGGGGAGGGAGGTTCAGCTGGGGTGGGAGGGAGCCTGGCCCCTGCTGTGGCTGGTTGCTGCAGGGAATTGCAGGGTCTCAGTGTTCCACAGCTGGGGGCCCCAGTGTGCCCTGTCTGATGGGGGCTCTTGTTTCTGTCCCACAGTTGACTGCTGGGATGGGCCGGACGGGGAGCCGATTGTCCACCATGGATACACTCTGACTTCCAAAATCCTCTTCAAAGATGTGATTGAAACTATCAACAAATATGCCTTTATCAAGAACGAGTATGTATCCAGTGTGCCAACCTCTGAGTGCCAGGGCTGTGAACGGGGTGTTCCCTGGCATCCTTGTACAGGCAGTGAGTGCAGATCCAACCTGCACAATTCCTGGCAGAACTCTGGGTTGTTTTCTGAGGGGAAAGCCCTCAGAAAGCAGGAACAAGGCAAGGCTGAGTAGGGCATTCTGCACAGAGGGGTGGAGCTGGCTTTGCTGCTGCTGTAGAAGGTAAATTAATTTATCTCTGTAAAAAAGTTTCCAGCAGCTTCCCCAAAGCAGCCCATCTGCCTTTATGAATAGAGCTAAACTTACACTTTACTTTCAGACCAGGTGAACTTATTCCGAGCCTGAAATTCTGCATTTACCTGAAGACAGTGTAAAGAAATCAAAGGAGAGCTGCCAGCAGAATGTATGGCAATGCTTCTGAAATTGTTCCCTTCTTGAAACCTTTTCAGAAAGGTTACCTGGGACCACGTCATCAACTGGGACAGTTGTGTCCTGCAGACACTGGCTGGCTGAAAGCCTTATTTTTCCTGATGAGGAGCTAACGAGGGCCAGATGTCAGGATAGACATAATTGGTTTTTAGTTAATGAATCCCTGATAATTCATCCCTACAAAACTGCATTGTGCACCAGCTTTTGTGTTTATCCTAAAGACTGCATCATCTCTAAACAGAAATCCATCTTCAGAGTGGTTTTACGTGGCACCAGCCACACTGGAGTAGATGTTTCACAAATCTTACTTTGATCTTCCCTTTCAAACAACCAGGCATTGTTGTTCCTTGGCCTCAACCTGGAGAATCAACAATAAACAACAGCAGTAAAACTGAGTCTAGAAATAATACTCACTGTCTTTGTAGCAGAGGCTTTGTCTGCAGGCTTGCTTGTGTAACACTGCTCTGTTGCTGATTAGAAAAGCATTCATGAAAGAACTGACACAACAGGTTCATCACTTGGTTGTTGGAAGTGGGAAGGTGAAGACAAAGCCCCTTTGGGGATCTTTTCAGTTCTTGTAGCTTTTATTTACTTTTCTGTGTGCAAGTACAAAAGGGCTGAAGCACCAGTTGGAGAGCAGAGCTGATGGCACTGGCTGTTTGGGTTTTCCTTGTGAATGGCTTGCTGGAGTGTCTGGTACGAAGTGGAGGTCAGGACTGAGTAGTGCAGGAAGATGACAAATGTGTTCTGGTAAAAAAAATGCATCAAATCAGGTTGCAGAAGTTTAATTCTCCTGTGCCTGTCAGAAAATCAGCCATTCAGTTTGGAGGGAGCAGTGGGGTATCAGTGCCATTCCCACAGGGATTTATCTCCCCTGTGGGTGTCACTGGTGGTGCTGTCACAGCAATGCCCAGGCAGCAGTAACCCTTCTCCTCTCCATGCTGTGAGAGCTGAGTTTGCAGCTGGGGTGGCTCTGTCTGTGCCAGGTACCCTGTTATCCTGTCCATTGAGAACCACTGCAGCATCCTGCAGCAGAAGAAGATGGCTCAGTACCTTGTGGAAATCCTGGGAGACAAACTGGACCTGTCCTCTGTGCACAGCGACGACTCCACAAAGCTCCCTTCGCCAGCAAGTCTTAAAGGAAAGATCCTGGTCAAGGTGAGCACCTGCTGCACTTGTGCTGCCCCTCCTTCTGTTTGTGGGGATGGGGATTCCTGCCTGGCTGTCCCTTACACCCCAACTGCAACCCTGTCACAAAAAGCAGTCCTTGAGAACTGGTACTTAAGGTTCTGAACAAATGTCTTCTCCATCAGTAAGAGCCTGGTTGCGTGCTTTGAATAATTTCTATTAATTTTTTTGAAAGGTGTGATAGCAAGAACTGCATGAAAACCTGCTTGTGTGTGATGGTTTTACTTTGCAGGGCAAGAAACTTCCAGCCAACATCAGTGATGATGCAGAGGAAGGAGAAGTTTCTGATGAGGACAGTGCTGATGAGATTGATGATGACTGTAAACTAATGAATGGAGATGTAAGTTAAGCTGAATGTAAATGGGCATCAAGGTTTCCCATCCCAGTGAGAAGAAACCTTGCCTGAGTTCTCTGGAATGTGGATGTGGTCTAATCTTTGGGGTTCATCACAAGTGTTTTGGGTTCTAAACCTTCATGGGGGGACAGATTGGACAAAAGCAGCAGTACATGTGGTTATGTTCCAGGTTTGGAATTTTAAATAGTCATATCTCATGATTCTTCATTGCATCATGGTGTTCTATCCCTCAAATGCAAAAAAGAAACAAAGATATTCTGCTTACAACTGTGGTCATTGTTACAGAGCATCCCTTTGCTTAATGCTGGGCTTAGCTGATTTTTACTGTAAAGAGGTGTTAAGAAGGGAGAATACTTTAATCTCTGCTTGCTTCAATCTGAAAATCCCTTGTTTCTTCATCCTTTTCAAAAGAGTTTTTTTGTTTGTTTGTTTTCTCCCTTTAATCTTCTGGCAAGTGCCATTGCACTTCACAGAAACAACATAAATACACAGCAAAACCATTTAATAGCATAAACCAGATTGCCTTGGAGAGAGATTGCATTCTCAGTCCTCTCTCCCTCAGGCTGTTTCCTCATTTTGTATTATGGATTTGATCCTTTTCATCTAAAACTAAAAGAGAAACTTCTTCTTCACAACTTCTTTGGGAAGAAGACTGCCAAAGGAGAGAAATAATGGCTTTGTTTTTTTCAAGTTATTACATTTTGGCATATCACTTTTCAGTAATTCACAGCACTGTCTCTGTTGCTGCAAGGTTTACTGATGCTTCAAATCTGAGATTTGCTACACCTGGTTTGCTTTCCAAACCAGATTTTGAAGAGCTCAGGAAATCAGAGCTTGTTTCATGGCAAATGTAACTGGGAATTCTTAAGGCCCACTGAGAAAACACAATCAGTTACCCCTCAAAAGCACTGGGATTGGGAGCGGAAAAGAAAACTCTGGATTTCTAGTTTTGTTTCCCCCACTTCCTCACATGGGCCATGATGTAACTACGAATTTTCCATGAAAAAAGGGCTGATGGAACAGAGCAGAGATTTGACTCAATAGGTGCTGCCCTGTGTCAGTCCAGTGCAGTCTGGGGATCACCTCAGTAATAACTATTTCTGGGTTAGCACATGCCTGGCTTGGAACAGACATTACATCTGAATAGCTCTGCTGAGGGTCAGTCTTGCTTTAATTAGAACTGGTTTAATTACTTTTTTTAAATGATTTTTTCATCACTACCTGGTTTAATGATTCTGTCCTGTCTGTAGGCATCTGCTAATAGGAAGAGAGTGGAGAACATAGCAAAGAAAAAGCTTGACTCACTAATAAAAGAATCCAAAATCCGTGACTGTGAAGATCCAAACAATTTTACGGTTTCCACTCTGCCATCATCAGGAAAGGCTGGGCTGAAATCTGATAGTAAGAAGGTGAGCATGTTTTATTGTACTTGTGTTTATTAGTTTACTGAATCCATATATTATTGACTTCAGCTTCGTAGCTGAATTCCTGCAGTTGATAATGATGCCAGGTGAACATCACTGTCAGATACACAAACTTTTTTTTCTTGCTCACACAGCAACTGGAGCATGAAATGTACACGTGAAAGGACTTCTCAGCAGAAGCACTTTGATTTTCCATTATAAAAACCGCATATGAAAGTTGAGCTTTATTTTTTCCCTTGGCTGTCTATGTTCCCTGCATTTACATTTGTATTTTAATTTTATATTAATGCTAATTTGTAAAAATGCACTCAGCCCACAGACTACACTTCATGAATTTGAGGCATTTTCATTTTAGGCTTTATAATAAGCCACAAAAAGCTTAAGAAGATTGTTCCATGCAAATGAAAAGCAGTGGAGATCTGCCAGCAATAAGCAGGTGTAATAACCAGGGATTAAAACTAAAATAAGGATGAGAACTAAAAATCAGCTTGCCCAAACATTCTATGGCTCGAGTTTTGTATGTAGTTTAAACATAATGATTTACAGGGTGTCTCAGACAGTTATTTTTGTAAGAGCCACTGCAGGGCCAGGACCTGGAGAGTCCTTTAGCCCAGCGCTGTGTGTTAACAGCCCATCACCTCTCTGCTGGTGTTCAGCTGCTCTGCCTGCAGCACTCCCTCTGATCTGCTGTGTTCTTCTGCCTTTGCTGCTGCAGAGCAAACTGGAGGATGATGTGGAGCCTGGGGAGGATTTCAGCACCCACAAGAGGCACAGCCGCTCCCTGATGGGCAGCTTTTCCAAGCGCAAGGTGAGCCCTGCCCCAAAGCCTGAGCTCTGCAGGGTGAGCCCTGCCCCAAAGCCTGAGCTCTGCAGGGTGAGCCCTGCCCCAAACCCTGATTTCTCTGAGGGTTTTTTTCTTTGCACACAATGGAGAGGAATGTCACTGCTGCACTGCCTGCAGCACCTGGCTCTCAGGCTGCTCTCTGAGCACACAGGCTGGGGAACTGCTTAGCATGGTGCATAACACACAGTTCCAATTTCCATGAGGGTCTGAAAGCATCCAACTGAAAAAAACCCAGAAAAATTCATTTGCATCTTTTATCTGAGGATTTGTGCTTTCTTCATAACAAATCTCAGACCCTGGGCTGAGTTGTCCCCATGTGCTGCAGTACCGAGTGTTACAAAAGCTGTCATTTCTCATTTTCTGTAAGTAACACACTCATTGGCATAACAAAGCAGAAATGTATCCAGCTGCTCAAACCTTGATCACACAGTTATGATATTACAGTTTTATTTCCCTCTGGCACAGAAAAAAGGAAGCAAATTGAAAAAAGCATCAAGTCTGGAAGAGGGTGAAGACGATTCGGATTCTCAAGGGAATTTAGCCAGGAGCTCTGTACATTACAGCAGGTTTGTTAACAAGTGATTGGACAGTTTTGTTTCTAAAAAAGATAACTTACATAATTGCACCACTAAATAGGTTTGCTTCAGGTCAAGGTGCCAATTTGTTGGAGGCTGCAGGCATCTGGTGTATGGGTAGAGAAGAATCTGGTGTATGGGTAGACACAACATCATCAGAAGGATCTCTTGGTGCAGTTCAGACTAATTAGCAAAGCACAGTGGGCCTTTTATGCATTTTGAGCTCTTAGTAGCTCATATATTTCTTTGCCCTGATTTATTTTAAAAATACAGAAGATGACATTTATCCCTTAATTAGTGGGAAATTAATTAGTCTTATCTTCCTAGGATAAACCGACAGAAGAAAACAATGAAGCTGTCCAGGGCCCTGTCTGACCTGGTGAAGTACACAAAGTCTGTTGGCATCCATGATGTTGAAAGTGAAAGTAGGTTGAACTAAAAGTCTACTGAAAATAATTGCTACACAAAGAAATTGAAATGTTTTTACACATCTGCTTATTAAAAGAAGACTCCTTAATGAAGAGTCAGGTCATTCAGCTTCATTTTCCCAACCATAACTGCTCCAATAAGCACAGCATTTTGCTGTGATACCAGGAAATACAGTTCCCTCTGAGTGACATGTACTCAAACGATGCCTGATGGTTAAAAGGAACAAGAGCCGTGTAGTTTTGCAAGCTTTATCTGGATGATAAATAAATAAACAAGGAGATTAGCTCTAATCCCTTCCTCTCTCCCCTGCAGTCTCTTCCAGCTGGCAGGTCTCATCTTTCAGTGAGACCAAGGCCCACCAGATCCTGCAGCAGAAGCCAGCACAGTACCTGCGCTTCAACCAGCACCAGCTGTCCCGCATCTACCCGTCCTCGTACCGCGTGGACTCCAGCAACTACAACCCCCAGCCCTTCTGGAACGCGGGCTGCCAGCTGGGTGAGCAGGGCACAGCTAGGGTGGTCTGCCAGCTGGGTGAGCAGGGTACAGCTAGGGGGGTCTGCCAGCTGGGTGAGCAGGGCAAGCCTGGGGGGTTCTGCTTGGGGGGTGTTCCAACAGGAGCTCCAGAGCCACCTCTCAGAACACTCAGAGTGCTCTGCTCGCCCCGCTTCGCTGGCCGCTGGGTCCGCCCTGGTGCTGTCTCTGTTGTCCCCTGGATTCCCTCAAACATGTCCTACATCCAACTAGTTGTGTGATAAATGGAAACAAGTGAACTTCTCAAGTGCAGGAGGACTCAGAGCTGAGCTTTTTTGGAGAGCTCCTCCCCCTGAAGATGTGCTATACGTCACAGAAGAGAATTGTTTTTCCGTAAGACACTTGAGTTTTTGCATCTGAGAAGTCAAATCTAAATCTGAATTTATTTTTTTTTAACAGTTGCACTGAACTACCAGTCAGAGGGGAGAATGCTGCAACTGAACCGGGCCAAATTTAGTGCCAATGGGAACTGTGGCTACGTCCTCAAACCAAACTGCATGTGTCAAGGTAAGGCAAACGAGCCAAAGCAGTGGCTCACTCACTGCAGGAGAAGATTGGGTGTGGGCCCTTGTTAGAATTTGTTTATAAATGCCTTTCTGATGCTAGAAGCAAACGAGCCAGAAGGTATCTGTAACAGAAGTCATGTTGCACTTCTTTCTCTTTATGTGACTTCCCATTCTTACAGGTGTCTTTAATCCAAATTCTGAAGACCCACTGCCTGGTCAGTTGAAGAAACAGTTGGTTCTAAGAATTATCAGTGGTCAACAACTCCCCAAACCACGTGATTCCATGCTGGGAGACAGAGGAGAGGTACTGGACAGTCAGTTCTTGTGTTGCATAAGGTTTATTTCCATATTGCCTGGGCTAAGGGTGAGGATTTCACCTTCTGCACTTATCTGTCAGGAGTCACAGAACATGGGTAAATTGGGTCACTGCCATCCTTAGAAGTGAAGTTTTCTTCACTTCTAAGCACCACAGCAGTGGTTTGATGTTTTTCCTACAATTGTCAACACAGTGTGTCCAGGAGAAACAAAAACCAGAGAGAATCTTATCAACATAATAAACAATTAGAGCTGGATCAGGACCAGTAATTACTGAGACATTAAAGTACAGTGCCCACACTGTAAAAGCCATGTGTTTGAGTTTCATCTTTGTCACTCATTTTTTTCAATATTTGTTACATTTTGCTTTTCAGATCATAGATCCATTTGTTGAAGTAGAAGTTATAGGCTTGCCTGTGGATTGTTTCAAAGAACAAACCAGAGTAGTTGATGACAATGGTAAGATTATCTGGGGTTTCATTTTTTTAATGGCTGAAACATCCTCTTTCAGGCAAGTTTTGTCCATAAGGATTGTAGTAGATGGGATTTGGTGCCTATTTCAACAAAGCACTGACAATTTGATTTAAGTATTTTTTATGTTGATTAGACTTGGATCTTGAATTGTTTGACTAAGTTGGTAAAATGTGCTGAAGGTCTTGGTGTAAACCAAGTCATTTGTCTTCTCACTGGGTATGAAAGAAGGGGGTTTTGAGCTTGCTGTGCTCAAAAGTAAGTCAGGTTTTCCAAAGCCCTGCTGAAAGCAGGGCCAAATTTCAATAAGATCCAACTCTGTTCCTTGCAAATTCTCGTGCTGTTGTTGTGTCTCCTGCTGGGTCCAGGGGCAGTGCTGGGTTCTGCCAGAACAAGATCAATCTTTTGGGAGAACTAGAATGGCACTGCCCTTTGGGCATTCCTTAGGTAGGCAGCCTTCTTTCTTGCTCTTGTGACTGAAATCCCTGAAAGCTGACCCTTCACTCCAAGGTTTTAACCCCATGTGGGAGGAGACACTGGTGTTCACAGTGCACATGCCAGAGATCGCCCTGATCCGGTTCCTGGTGTGGGACCACGACCCCATCGGGCGGGATTTCATCGGGCAGAGGACAATAGCATTCAGCAGTATGATGCCAGGTAAGAGAGGGGGGCAAATCCCAAATTAAAGGGCTGGGACTTCTGTCCTGGGGTAACTGAAGGTGCAAATGCTGGTGCAAATTGTGTGTGTCTGCTGCAGAAGTTTCTAGTTAGAGCAAGAGAGTGGAGTTTGGACCCTGAGTTCTCTGCCTCGGTCCACCACTGACTTACATGGGGATGAAGACTGAATCAATTAACTCCAGACTTTTGGGACTAGATTTTCAGAAATTTTCTTAAGCAGGGTGGCTAAACACTGTGGGCTCAGCAGGCTACCATAGAGCATCTTTATTGCAGTTACCTAATACTGCTTTTTCCTCCATTTCTTTACAGCAGTTTTTGAAAACCACCAGAGTTTTCATTGCTCTTATGACTATTAGTAGCAATTTAATACAGAACATATAGTTACCCATTCTAATGATGGGATCCAGGTTATTAAATGCCATTTTCTAACAGTTTCCCATTTCTGTTTTCAGTTCAGTCTTCGTTCATGTTAAAGCTTCTGTGTCTATTTTTCTTTCCTTTCAAAGTAAAGAAAAAAGTTTAAGATTTAAAGCAAACATCCAGTCTCAATAAACTGACCTTGGAAAAAATGTTTGCACTCTTAAAAGTGGACTGTAAGTCCCCAGGAGAGAATGTGGTGAAGTTTAAATCATGGGTTGACAGCAGCAATAACAGAGCCTGGATAAAAGAGGACATGGGGTTTTTTTTATAAAGTCAAAGGGGCAAGAAGAAACAACAGTGAAGTTTGTCAGTGGTGTGACTCAGGTACCTGAGCGTGGCAAGGGGATGCACAGCCTGGATGCTTCTTGTGAGGAGGGGCTGGAAAAAACCTGCTTACCTTCTCTTGCTGTTTGCAAAAGGAGAGTCTCCAGGTGCTCCTCCTGCCCCCTGTTCCCCCTCAGCTCTGCCCACTCTGTTCCAGGTTACAGACACGTGTACCTGGAAGGCATAGAAGAGGCTTCCATCTTTGTCCATGTGGCCATCAATGACATCTGTGGTAAGGTGAGTGCCTCTGGGGGTGTGGCACAGCTTGGGCACGGGAGGGAGCTCACAGGGAAGCCCAGGGGGTGAAGGTCCAAGCCAACAGATTTGTTCACTCAGAGTAAACTTCATCTCCGTGCTTGTCACGGTGAGACCCTTCTGAACACCCACGGAGATGAAGAAAAATCATGGGGAAAGTTCCACCAGAGATTCCTGCAGTGCCTTTCTGGGGAGGCCACGGAGGAAGGTTATTTCCTTGCAGCACACACATTTATCTAAACCAGTCTGGTTGTGTCCAGCCCTGGAGGTGCACCTTGCTGAGCCAAAGCTGCACACCTGAACCCTCAGTGCTTGGTGCCTGCAAAGCTTGTGCTAAAAAGGCTCTGCCTGATGCTTTCGCATTTTAAATCTAATTAAATTCTTCAGGGTTGTTTGCTTGCGGTTTTTTCCATAACAACACTTAAAATGCAGAGGAAAAGTGATCCTTGTAATAGTTGTTGGGCATATTTACACTCTTTGTCTGTTATTAAGAGCGTGTTTGCTTCACATGCAGGAAAAATACAACTCAGGGTTCCATATCTAAATTCCCATGAAAGTAAAGCTCTGACTTCAGATTTTTCCTAGGCCAGCTGAAAACGAGAGAGCTTCTGTGCTCGCAGAGCACTGCATTTAGTGCCTTCTGCGGTATCAAAGTCAATGAAATTCAGGCAGCAAAGCATCTTGCAGAGCCTCGAGCAGCCCAAACCGAGCTCCCCGCGGTACCGAGGTGCAATTCCGGCACCACGACTGCAGGAGGAGGCATCCAACAGGCTGGGAATTCCCAGCTCCTCCTCGGGAGGGGCGTTAGAGCGGTCCTTAAAAAGGAGAACAGCTTTCTGAGCTGCCAAATTTCAGTCCCCGGTTAGTTAACTGCTCCTGACAGCAGCGTTGGATGGAAGGGGCAGTGCTCGTAGTCTTTGTGAATGTTTGAAGTGTTTTCAAGTCAAATCTTCTTTGGCAATATTGCAAGGCATTCTCTCTCCTTTTATCCTGACTTTGCTGAGCCTTTCATAATTATTTGCTCTTAGTGGCTTCTTCGTGAGCCACTGGCTGATGATAACGTTTGCAGTGGGGTGACCTGCCCATTTAAACTTAAGCTATTTTGAGGACATAAGATTTTCTTGGTAGTGTTTAAACAACCAAAAGGCCCTTGTGTGTCACTGTCTCCTCCCTGTCCTTACCCATTACCCTCCAAACTACTGCACTGATCTGTTTTTCCAATTGCTTTACTCCCCTTTCATGTTCTGTTAGACATCCCTTATTGCTTCTCATTATCACTGCAGTCTCTTTGGGTTGGCTGGTGTTAAGAACCTGGTGCTGTGCACTGACATAATTAAAATATAGGGGTTTGGAAGGAAAGCTGGTATATGGTTGTTTTTTTTTAATTTATAATTTTTAATAAAAACTACTGAAAACGGGACAAATATTATACAGCCCTTTCTGCTTTGGTCTCTCTCAATGACTTTCTACTTTGATTTTTGGTTAACAGAGTTCTGTCAAAACTAGAATTATTTCTCTGTTTCCCCTATCTTAATTATGGGCCAGTTAAAAATCAGCCCAGTTATCAGCCTGGTTTTACCCCTCCTTTATTAATCCAGAGACTCTAATGCAAACAGTAACCTTCAGGGGCGTTTTTATAAATGGAGATATCCCACCAGCTCAGAAGCTTGTTATTACTAAAGCAGAGTCTTCAATTTTTTTTCACCTTCACTTGTGTGTAACTGAAATCCAGATTGCTTTGTTTCCTGCAGAGGCTTTTCTCTGTTTCTGTCTCTTCTGTGGTCTGTTCATGTATTGCAGAATTTTGGTGGGTTTCTAGGTGTGCCTATCTCTGAGATCCTCCCTCACCGTTATTTTGCCTTTGCTCTGTCTGTTTGTGATTTCAGTGGGCTTCTCTATGTCAAAAAAGTCTCCTTTTAGAAGCAGAGCGTTTTTAGACGCCTCGAAGGTACCCCCTCCTGTCCGGGGAGGTGCAGTGACACCACCACACACCTGCATGCCTTAATTGGTAGCTTCATTAGCATCCATGTTCCTTATTAGCATTTTCAAGCTCTCCAACCCGCGGAACATGAGTTGTGACATTTGACTTGGTCAGTTCTGTTGGGTCATCGGCAGCCAGAGAGCCCTCCCTGTGTGAGGCAGATCCAGGATAAAAGTCCCTCCATCCCTCTCTCATTTGTCTGAGTGTCTCCCTCTCCTGCCTTTTCTCTCGAGTGCAATAACTCAACCCATGGAAAAGAACATTAACACTGAACACTTGCTAAACTGTGGAAAAGCCTCTTGTGCTGGTTTTCAAGTCTCCTGTGGAGAATGACACAGCCCTGCAGCAGCTGGGCTGGAAGCTGCAAGCACAGTGTCCTGGATCTCCCTCACAGCTGCTCTCTTTTTGGTTTTTTCCTTACTTTAAAACTTTTTTTTCCCTAAGTTAACCGAATTTGCCTTTGGATTCTTGAATCACTCCACTGATTCAAGCAATAGTGTCCAGCTTAACAAAGCTGCACCAAACAAGCCAGAATGAACCTGGGGCCCTGCACTGCGTGTCACCCATTCCATCAGTGCTTTCCTTTTCTTTTTGGTGGATATTATTTGTGTGTGTGTTTGTGTGACAATTTTTTCTGGGTTTTGCAAATATTGTCTCATTTTTATAGCAAAAATTCATGTACTTGCCAACTTGTCTCATAGTAAGCACAGTAATCGAAGCAGACTGTTCAATAACCTGGCTCTTACAGAAGGTTTCCCAATATTTAAATTACAATTTCTTTGCCTTGTATGGGAAAAATCAATCCCAACCTTCTTTATCTTATCCTGAGGGCCATTATAGGTCTCTTTTTAATCATGTGCTACTCACAGTGGAGATTGGCACGTGGTAACTAAACTTCAGTCAATTATAAAAGTAATATTGTGAATGCTCTCACTGGGCTGGGTGTCAGCAAATAAACCTCGATGCCACATGGCAGGTTGGGCAGGACATGGGGGGATAAAAGCAGCTTTTAGCCCGGGCTCTCTGCACAGGGCAGCCAGTGCCTGTCCATTAAGTCCTGCAGGGCAGAATTGGAAATGCAGGAACATGCACTCAAATATTTATTTGGGGGTGAGAGACCATTGTAATTTAAACGAGACATTTCTGTGCCATTGTTTGGCACCACAGAAATGTGACCTCACATGACATCCCAGGGCACACACTGAACTGACCTCCCATGGCATCCCAGAGCACACACTGAACTGACCTCCCATGGCATCCCTGGGCACACACTGAACTGACCTCCCATGGCATCCCAGGGCACACACTGAACTGACCTCCCATGGCATCCCCGGGCACACACTGAACTGACCTCCCATGGCATCCCAGGGCACACACTGAACTGGCAGCAGTGCCAGCGGGGCCGGGGTGCTGAGCAGGTCCTGCCACGGGGCTCTGGCAGTGCCTCTCAATCCCTGGCTGATGGACCCGGGGTTTATCCAGCTGCTAAAGAGAGTCTGATCTAACTGGGCAACAAAGAGAGCAGAGGAGGAGCAGGTTAGCAGGGAAATACCTTTGTCTGCTGTGAGGGATTGGTGTGTACGAGGCTGTACCTGCAGAGCTCCCAACACTGTGCTCCCAGCATTGGCCTCTCGCTGTAAAAGTTGGCAAGTGCACCTGGAATGCTCACAGGAATGCTGACACTGCTCCACTGACATGTCAATCACCTGTATGATGGTGGGAGATTCATGATGGTGAATTTGTATGTTTAGTGCTTTAATAAGTACTGAAGAATATGAAGAACTGTATTGTTACACTGACTAACTTCCCTTGTTTATGGTGTGTTTCCTCAGTGATGAAAACATACTCGAGTGTCTTTGGATAATGTTGTATGGTAGGAAATTACCATAGAAATTGAAATATTCGGTGATCATTTGCCTGCATATAGTTAAGTGCTATTCATGATAGTGCTCAATTCAATTGAAGGGTAAATCTCCTTTAGACTGAAAAAATATTCTATATTATGGCCAGTGTTTATTTCCCAGCAGTTCCTAGAGAATGCATTTCCAGCTTGTAATTTAAATGCATATGTTTTGGGTGAAACTGAGAAACTCTTCAGCTTTCAGAATGAGATCCTTGTAGACAGAAGTAATTCCTTTTTTATTACTTTGTCTTTTCAATATCTCTCATGTTTATGTAGATGTTGCAAGTAGCTACATGCTAGTAAGGGAATGATGGCAAATACAGAGATAAGTGTGGTTGGAAAATGTTATCTAAAAACATAACTGCCAAAAAAAAAAGAGATGTGATGTTTTGCAAAGCTGATGTTAGTGATTTTTTCCATTTTCAGTCCCTGTCCTATTTCTGGTTTAGTTCTCATGCTGATGGCAGGAATATGGCAGGAGACTCCCTGTGTGGATGATGGTTTGTTCATGAGCTCCAGCGCCCCAGGGCAGAGAGTTGTGTTTTGTGCAAAGGACTTTTTATATCAGTCCCTCTGTATTTGTCTTGCAGGCCAAACCGGCTCTAGGTCTAAAAGGGCTGTTTCTCAGAAGTCCAAAGCAGGCCTCTCTGGACAGTCATGCTGCTGGGCAGCTGCACCGCAGACCTTCCTTTAGCAGCCACCTGCTGCGGCGCACGGCCAGCGCCCCCACCAAGAGCCAGAAGAAGACCAAGAAGGGCTTCCCCGAGATCGCTTTTGACACCAAGGACACCGGCTGGGCCGGGGCCGGGGAGGACCGGGAAGGGGACGCCGCCTCCCAGCCCCGCTTTGTGCAAGAGCCAGAAAGTGCTTCTCCATCCCCAGCTCCCCGAGACGGCGCCGGCGGGGAGGCGCCCGGCCAGGGGGGGAAAGGTAAGGCCCAGGTCTGGCAAGGGCCAGAGCCAGAGCTTGTGCCCGGGCGGGGGCTGCCCTCAGCGAGCCCCTGCCCCGGGCGCGGCGGGTGCCGGCCGCAGGAAGCCCCCCGGGCGAGAAGCAGAGCGTGTTCGCCCGCTGCGCCATCAACAGCTCGGGCCGGATCGGCGTGGCCACCAACTGCATGAGGTGCATGATCGGCTCCAGGGACAGCCCCGACCTGGAGGGCCCCTGGGCAGAGCCCCCCGCCAGGCCCGCTGCCCACGGGCAGGGTGGCAGTGCCGCTGCAGAGGAGAGGGTCGAGCTCAGGACCTGGGTGGTGAGGGCCCAGCCCAGGCCCCAGGCAGACCTGCAGCCCCGCGGCAGCCCCGGCACTGCCGATGACCCCGGCAGCACCCAGCCTCTGGTGACCCCAGGGAAGAGGAGTGTTGACTCTAAATGTCACGGAATAAAGGCTCACTCCCGGCAGCGCTGGCAGGGCCAGTCAGGTGGCAAGTATGGAAGCACTGTCAACCTGGTTGCAGCCAGCAATGGCTCCATATCCTCCAACTCCAGCAGTCTAGAAAGCCTTGGAAGCCCAGAATTCCCCAGGCACTGGTCTGAACCTTCTCGAAGGCAAGTGGGCACCCTACAGAGGGAAATGAACGCCTTGTTCGTTCAAAAGTTGGAGGAAATTCGAAGTAAATCCCCTATATTCTTTACTGGTAAGACCAGATTTTCTTCACCCTTCCCCGCTGTAGATCACGTCGTCGTCTCAGCTTCTGCATTAGCATCTTTACTTAGAGGCTCCTCTATGTTGTTTGGCTGTCAAGAGCTCTTTTTTTTTTTTTTTTTAATTTTGGCAATGACAGAAAAAAAAAATCTGCATAAATATTTTTGTTTTATTTTTTGTAGACATGTCTGGTCTAGATCAGTCCTTTCCATGCCTAGTGAACCATCTGCAGTAGTAACACTGTCAGTAGTCTATGAGTGTTTGGGTTGTCTGTTCAGGGTTTTTTGTTTCCTTGCTTTTCTTAGTGAATGTGGTATGATGCTAAGTCAATTTTAAGATCCAAACCAGAGCATTGAGTGAGATTGAATATGGGAAACCCATATCAGCAAACAATATTTCCACTGTCAGTCTTTGTGTTTCACTGGGGTCTGACCACATCAGGAATGAGATCTAACGTGTTCCCTCCTCAAAGAACTTGCAGAAGTACTGCCATGAATTCAGGGATTCCTGGATGGAATTCCCTGCTCTGGGTTATTCAGGAGATCCCATTTTATAAGCACAGCTGCCCATTCTGATCCTAGATATGTAAATTCCCAGCATGCAAACATTTACGGATTCACTCAGTGCTCCATAGATGTGCCTGTGACCTGAGGGCACAGTTGCACAGCACAAAGCAGAGTGTGAGCTGATGTTCCCTGACATCAGCCAGCCTGGGCCACGCTTGGCATCTCCCATTGCAAAGCAAAATGTGTCCAGTTAGGGCAAAGCTGCTAAAACTGCCCCGTTTGAGAGTTGTTTCAAGGCAGAAATAGGTCTGTGGTCACTGGGACCGTGAACTGTGTGTTTGTAAAGATGGAAAATGGAACAGAGGCTATCAAAATATGAATTTTAATAAGGAAAATGGCTTTTTTTTCCCTCCTGATTTGGCAGGAAGGGGAATGAAGGGAAGAGATTTTGACAGGAGTTTTCTGTTTCATAGAATTGTAAAGAGGAAGTAAAGAAATAGAGTGTTTGGCTGTGACTCTAAGAGCTTCTCTTCAAATCCCTCCCCCTTGTCCTTAATTGTCCAAGGAATTTGAGCACTGATGGTTCCATTTTCAGGAACAGGGAAGTGACTTTGGTGCTTCTTAAGATGTAATTCTTCTCTTAGTAACAGATTCTGAGTGGGCTTCTTTGAAAGCCCCGTCCAGAAATTTGAGATATTTTATTTGTTTGATCAATTCAGTCTGGTTGGGTGTCCACAATTTTTCTTCTGTTTTTTTTTAATGCTTTTTTTTTTTTAGTGTATTTTTCCATTATCTGCTCTGAGCTTTTAGGAAAATACCAGGACAATGGGAGGGGAGATGTTTGCCGCTTCCCGTGACTTGCAGTTAATCCAAAGCAGCAGAGCTCTTTCTGTGCCTAAATTATTGGCATCAGGCTTTTCACAGGCTCTGAGTGGTGTGACATATGAAACCATTTCCCATTATCAGTGCCAGCTCCCCCGCCAGCCCCCCGAGCCACTAAACAAATATTGTGATATGCTTGAAATTTGATTAAATCCATCTGACTTCCCAAGCATGGAATCAGCAAACCCTCCAAATGGTGAAATGGTGCCTTGGCCTGGGTGCTGCTGGTGCAGTGACAACCCCTCTGTTCACACAAACAGCTCCCTTCCCATCCTGCAAGGCTGTGCCTTGGGCCAGGAAACCAAGGAAACAGCCCCTGGAGCGGGGCTGCACTTTGGAATCAACATTCTGCTGCTGGGAAGTGCCCCCAGGACAGGACAGGAAACTCGAGTCTCTCCTTCTCCCTCTATGGCACAGCATTCCATTTGCTGGGGTTTTGCCTTCCAAGTGTGCCTCAGTCTGTGCTGGATGGGGAAAAGGAGGCTCCTTAGTCTGATCAGCTCTGGGCTTTTCCTTACACTCCTCCAGACACTGGGAATCTGGGAGTGTTGGATTTTCCTTATGGGCACGTGTTCCTTCTTCCCTTCTGACACTCCCAAGTGATGCCATACAGGCCATCCAGGGGACAGTCTTTTCCTGTCACTGAGCTTCTGGTCGCTGTGCCGGGCTGGAAATCCTGGTGCTGAAGGAAAGGCAGGGATTTCCTGGGCATTTTTTGGTAGTGCAGGTGATTGTTTTTCCAAAGCAATAGGAGAGGGCTTTGTAGAAGGGGAGATCAGCTTCCTCTGAGCAACCTGCTCTAGTGGAAGGTGTCCTTGCCTGTGTCAGGGGTCTGAAACTAGATGGTTTCTGAGGTCCCTTCCAAGCCAAACCATTCTGTGATTCCACGACTCCATTCCCCAGTCCAGTGGAGTGCATTTCTTCAACACTAACAAAAATTGTTTGTCTTCTTCTAAGACAAAATAATGGACTTAATACTGTCCATTTGTGGATTCCATTGAGTGCTCTGGTTGGTCAGAAATTCTTAGGATCCTACAAACATGTGTGAATATTCCTGTGTGTCTCCTTTCCCTCCCTCAGCACTAATTTATCCTGTTATCTGCACCTGCCTTCCCTACATTAACTGGATTTTTCCTCTGTTCTGTCCTATTATTCGACATGCACACTCTCTCTCTCTAGTTAAGAACTGAAAGGACAAGCAAGTCAAAGGTAACTGTCTGCTGAGTGTCCCTGGTTCGAGCCCCTTGTTGCCTGTTTTCCTGGTTTGTGTTTGTTCCCTGCCCTGTAACTCCCTCCTCCTGTGTTCCTGAGGTGCTGTCTGTCTCCGTGGTGCTTTGTGAGCTCTGGAATGCATGGCTGCCCCGTGGTTTGGGGGTATGGGAAGTGGTGTGTTTGGCATGGTTGCTTTGGCCCTTAGGGTACAGCCCATAAATATTGCAGGGGGATGGAGCATTTCCTCCAGGGAATTGGTGGCTGCAGTGATTCCTCAGGGCTGTTCTGTCAGCCTGCTGTTCATGAACCCTCTGTCTGTAGAGCTTTTGAAAAAGGAGTTGCCAAGTTTTTTTATAGGAGAACAAAGTCTGTTTAAAGTTTTTGGTTTGTTTTTAAAAGTCCCATTGCCAACATTCCACTGTGTCATCTGGACCATTTGTAATCTGCTCCACGAGTCCTGTGCTGCTTCTCTCCCAAGTAATTGGTCATTGGGATCGTGTCTGGTGGTTGGGCACTGCTGTTCTGATTATTGTTCATGGGCTGGCTGGGATCTGATACACTGACCTCTGGGAGAGCTGGAAGGAAGGGAAAGAGCCATTGAAGTGATGCTGGATAATGGAGGAAAGAAACTTAGTTTACAAAAGGGGACACAAAGGACACAAATTGCTGGGTACTGTTGTTTGATAGAAAACCAGAACAGTCATATGGTGCTGCTGTGCATGGACTGAGATTCCTGAAACAACAGGGCTTTGGGCAGCTAAAACCGAATGATCAGAGATTTTTGCTGCCTTTAGCCTGGCGTTTGAATTCATAAGTTATTTTAAGAATCATGATTAATATACACAATTACTGCCTTGAAAACAAAATGATAACACAGAAAAAATAAACCTTAGCATGAACTGTGATTTGTGAGAGGTAATTAACCCTGTATCTCTGTTTCTTTCTTTTTCCTCTCTCTCCATGCCTCCCCAGCAGACGTCTGCCGTTTCTCCATGCAGAGGTCAGTCACTTCTTTGTGCAGCCTAGAAACGATCACAGAGGAGCCAGTTCTTGCCAATGAAACCCATCACTGCAGCCTTGTCTTCCCTCTGCCCGTTACTCCCTACAGTGACTCTGAAGAAGGGTCTGTGTCTGACCATTCCACCGAGGCTCAATCAGAAGGAAGCAGCACATCCAACCAGCCTCAGGAATCTCCACTCACTAGAGAACAAAGGACAAACCTGGCTGCAGAAGACCAAGTGCAGGTTGTCCCAAGAGCAGCTGACACAAGTTTAGTAGCCCAGGAGGATGAGAGGACTAATGTGGCAGGACGTGTCTCAGAAGAAGGTGGCTGGACACGGGTGTGCAGTAAAGCTGAGGGTCAGTGTGGGTTGGCAACACGTCCCCAGGAAGCCAGGCTGGCAGTGGCAGCAGATCACAGTGCTGGCCAACCTGCTGGAAACTGCCAGGAGCAAAACCACCAACCAGGGCAGGTATTAA